GCTTGGTACTGTACAAATACAGTGCCTGATACTGCTAGCACTTGCTACAGGACCTGGTACTCACCACCATTCATAGTTCCAGCAGCAACTGCAGTGAGACTGCAGACAGATACCGAAGGGAGAACATTTTCCTATACAGTAGAACCCCAATTTGGGGATTAAGGAATTAATAAATCTCAAAATTACAGTAGGTACAAAACATATACAGTAGAACCTCAAAGATACGAACACCAGAGTTATGGACTTACCGGTCAACCAGACACGATGTGGAACTGGAAGTCCTCAATCAAGCAGCAGCACAGACAAAAGGGGAGGTGAAGAAAAAAAGGCAAATACTGTACTTCCTTTGCGCTTTATCCATAGGGATGGGGGAGGGTTGGGACAGCAGCCACAGGGTAGGGGGGTTCAAGGCTCCAGGCAGTGGGTGGGGGTCAGAGCTTCTGACCCTCAGGAGCACAGGGCCTCAGGGCTTTATATCGAGGCGGAGCTTTAGGGCTTCAGCCCCGTGGCTCTGTTCCCTGCAGGCGATGCTGGGGCTCAGGACCTTAGCTACAAGGGAAGTGCCGGTTTCAGCCCCAGCACTCCTGCCTCTAGCTTGAGCCCTGACCCTCTCCTCCCTGCTGAAGCCAGGAGTGGAGCCGTGGAGAGCCCCAAGTTCCAGTGCCCCCCGCAGGGCTGATGCCAGGAACAGAGCAGTGGGGCTGAAGACGCAAGCCCCAGTGCTCCCCCCATCTCTAAAGCGCTGAGCCCCAGTGCTCCTGCCGGGCAGAAGCCCCCTGAGTCCCCTGTCTGGAGCCCCAAAGGTCAGAAGCCTCAACTCCTTTGTCCTCCCCCACCCCCAACTGCAGCCCCAACCTCCTGTGTGGCTGACGTCCATAATAACTATTTCTTCAGAGTTACGGACAACCTCAATTCCCAAGGTGTCTGTAACTCTGAGGTTCTACGGTATTGCAGTATAGTGCTCTGCAGAGTTTTCTTTTTGTCCTTCGAACCCCTGTAAAGCAATTTCCAATGTGTTGACGGTATCGGAATGTGAAGGGATGTTGACTTGTTCTTCATCACCATCACTTTTGTTATGTGATTTGTTTTCTGTCAGGAAAAATAGTTTGTATAAATGGTCATTCATAAGATTGGTGTTTGTAAAATTGAGGTTCTACTGTAGTTGGAGAGAGACTGAAAGTGATGCACAACGCTACACTAAAGTGCTCAAAAATGAAAAGTGTATTGTTGTTCAGAGATGTGCTTGAACTATGGACCCAAACTGTATGGGATTTTGGATCTGGTTCCTGATGGAATCTTTGTGGTTTGGTCCTCTGTCTATTAGCATGAGAGGGCTTGGAAAAATAATAGTGCTAAAGATTATTATTTAATTAAATGTGACTCTCCGGGTTCTCTATATAACCCAGATTATTCATTTAACAACCCACCGTAAATAATCTTCACTGTCCAATTACCCCCTATCTCTCAACACAACCTCTCCTGGCAACCTGAGTTCAGCCGTATGCAGGGGCAAGAGCATTCCAAACTCATAGGCTCATAACAGAAAGTACAGTTCCATATACCCCAGTCCTATTGAACAACAGCAGTAGTTCTCAAACTTTTGTACTGGTGACCCCTTTCACATAGGAAGCCTCTGAGTGCAACCCACCTTATAAATTAAAAACACTTTTTATATATTTAACACCATTATAAATGCTGGAGGCAAAGCAGGGTTTGGGGTGGAGACTGACAGCGTGTGACCCCCCCCCCAAATAATACCCTTGTGACCCCCGAGGGGTCCCGACCCCCAGTTTGAGAACCCCTGAACTACAGGTTCCCCTGCTGCACAGCACGGTTGTGGAATCAAAGAAGGAAAGAAGTGGTCTCTCAAGAAGCCAGGTCCCAAATTATTTAGGGCTTTACAAGTCAAAACCAAATGTTGCCCTGCAAACATTTAAGCATGTGCCTCGCCCTATTGATTCCATTAGGACTACTCACATGGTTGTAGTTAAGCAACTGTTTAAAGGTATGACTGGGGCCTCATTACATATTTTTTATTTTAAAATTATTTAAGTGCTAAGATTATTAAAGCATTATGTACTAAAAAGCACTGTACAAATTCTATAAATTATTATATTTATATATACACACACAAACACACATCTACTTGTTCTAGGCCCCTTGACAATTTTCAAAATTAAAAATCAATGTTTAAAAATATAACCATCCAGTACCAATCTAAACCCCCCAATCACCTGTTCTTTACCTAAGAATATACAACTCACCTTCTGCAGAGTCCTCAACCCCTGTATATGACTCAGCTGTCTTCAAAGTCCCAGACAAACAGGTGGACTCTGCAGCATGCCTTAAAGGCTGATAGTCTTGAGTTATTTTGGTCCAAGAATTAAATAACTTGAAAAGAGAAAGTGCTCTCCTCCATAGGGGCTAAATATTTATTAATAATAACAACAAAACATTTAACAAAGACAAGGACCAGGGCCCTCAACCTCCACAGCTGAATGGTGCAGGGTCATCCTTGTGTCCAGGTGGAGCCCAGTGGGGGTGCAAAGGTCTACCTGTATGGCTCAGCTGGTGGGATCCTACATCAAGCCCTAGGACAGGGATTGGCAACCTTTGGCACGCGGCTTGCCAGGGTAAGCACCCTGGCGGGCCAGGCCAGTTTGTTTATCTTGCGCGTCGGCAGGTTCGGCTGATCACGGGGCTGCGGGTAGCGGCGCAGGATGAGGGATGTGCTGGCCGCCGGTTCCTGCAGCCCCCATTGGCCTGGAGCGGCAAACCGCGGCCAGTGGGAGCCGCGATCGGCCGAACCTACAGACGCGGCAGGTAAACAAACCGGCCCAGCTTGCCAGGGTGCTTACCCTGGCGAGCCGGGTGCCAAAGGTTGCCGATCCCTGCCCTAGGAATTAGGATGAAGGCAAAGTCTGCCGCTGTTGTGTGGCAAAGTTGGAGCTACAGTGCAGTTCCCCAAGTCTGCTATGTTAGCTTGTGGGCTGGAAAAGCAACTGAGTCCGTCCATATTATCTGTGATGATAGGACTACTGTGTCCCATCTACTGGGCTGAACACACCTCACTTTACAGACTTGGCACAAAGAATCCCTCCATGGAGCACATCGATATGGAGCCCCCTGCCATGCACCCTGATCACAGAGTTGGGTGGTGCAGAGGTCCTCATGAATACCCTCCCCAGCAGTATGAATTTCACCCCGGCCCCTGATCCTGCAGTCTGCTCCACGTGAGGTTTGTAGGGAGTAGGGCTTTGTGTAGGCTCAAGCTTCTGCACACGCAGATTTGACTGCAGGATCAGGGCCTGTGAGTGTGATCCACAAAGTGCTTTAAAATGCAAAGCACCGTGCAGCGATGAATGTGAATCACATTAATGAAGCTTACGTTAAAAAAAACCCTGTGATATAAATGCTAAATAGTATTAAAGCATCCTAAAACAAACAGCACGTGTGGGGCTAGACATTGTTATCAATAAGGCATTTTATATTAAACAACGAAGCTGTACCCTGATGCAATTGGATCCAGGTAGGTGCTCCCCTGAGCATGGGTGGAACCCTGGACTCAGCCCATTCAGAACCAATTGTAGGAGTGGGGCCCAAATGCCATTGTTAGTAATAAAAAAAAAAAGTGTTTAAAACAATAAGGCATTATATACATGCTAAATGCTAATGTTATGTAAGTGCATCGGACATGAAACATATTCCGGAGCTGCTTAAAATATGATTAACAATAAAACCACACTACCCAGCATTATTGCCCTGTGCAGGCTGTTTCATGGCTGCCTGGGTGCATGTGTATGGTCTTAATGTATCTCTTTCCGTACTGGAACCCCAGTGTCCACCCCCACTCCTTGCTTGCTTGCTTTTCTGGCTGCTGCTGGTTTGTACATCATTCATAATAAGACAACACCACCTGGCAGCGTGGCTTAGTGTAAAGTGTTGCCAGGCCATGGGAGTGTGTGTTCCTCGAGGCAGGGGAGGGTCTCGCCCTGAATGCTTCCCCCTGCTTGCTTTGCTTTGTGTGTTCTTAATAATAAAGCAATCCCGGGCAATACTGCCCGATACAGCTGGCTGCAAGGTGTGTGTGTGTTTGTGAAGGGGGGGGGGGGGGGGAGGTCTTCCTTCACCGTATTGGACCCCTGTGTCCCCCTGCCCTCACCCCGCTGTTTGCTTTGCTGGCAGTTTGTATAGTCTTAATAATAAACAGTGCCTGGCGATGTGGCCTTCTGGAACAGGTCGGGAGAGGGCGTGAAGAAGGAGGGTCCATCCCTCACCCTACTGGCCCTCGGTGTCCCCCACTCCTGCGTGCTTAGCAGGTGGGGTGCATAATGCATCCTAATACCGGAGCCCTGCCTGGCCCTAGGGCAGCTTGCTGCAAGGTGCGGGGAATGGGTGTAACAGGGAAGGCGTGGGGGGGGGGAGGAGGGTGTCTCTCTCCCCTTGTCCGGGAACCCCGCTCGCCCCGCTCTGCACCCGCCCGGTGGCTGGTACAGGTCGAAGCCTAAAATGGCAGGACGGCCTTGGGCAGCCTGCTGAGGGGAGGGGGTGTGAAAAGGGCAGGGTCTCCCCTCCCCCACCGGCCCCCCAACAGGGAGGGCTGGGCTGGAGGCTGGTTGGGGCTGTGCAACAGCAGCAGCAGCCGCCCGGCCTGCTTCTCTCCTCCTTCCCCGCCGCTCCCATTTCGGCGCGGCTGGGCACCCCGCGCTCCCCCAGCGCGGAGTGTCTGAGAGCCGTTGGCTGCGCTGAACCGTTTGGCTCCTTCCCTTAGTAACAGCTTTTACATTCTGCCTCAATTCCTCTTCAATCTAAATCACACACACACACACACACAGAGCGATATTACTTCCCCCCCCCCCCCCCTCCTCCGGGACTCCTCCTCTCACCGCCCCCCCCCCCCTCGCTTCCCCCACCCCCTTCCCCACCCCCCCCTCGCGCTGGCTTGGGATCTAATTGAATATCACAGCACTGTTGGGTGGCTATTTATTCCCCCCCCCCCTTTTCTATTTTGTGTCTTTTTTTTTTTTGTTGTTGTTGCTCGGAGCGGGCACCTCCGCTGAGCGGGAGCTTGGATGTGTCTCTAGCTGGAGAAAGAGGAGGAAACCCAGGGTGCATTTCTGTTGCCTCCATTGCCAAGGAAAAGGGGGGAGGGCAAAAGCAGCCACTCAGCCATCAACTGCAAGGTAAGGACTTGGGGTGGTGTGTGTGTGTGTGTGTGTTTTGCACCAGCCTTTACCTCTCCTGGGCTGGATCAAGTGCCTCCAAGGGGGGGAGGGGGGGTTATTATGGAGCTTCTTGGGGGGAAGGCTGGGAGGGCTTTGGGGAAGTGATCAGGGCTGGGGGGGGGGGGGGGGCTGTGTTGGTCTGGGCTGGTGGGGGATGGGCACAAGTGTAACATGTCTTTATTTTTCAACTTGGGTCCCTTCTTTTTTTTTAAAAAAAATGTATTTTGGGGAGCTGGTGGTTTTAATTGTAAATGGCACTTCTTTTTAAAGCTGGGGGGGGGGGGAAGGGCTTTCTTGCCCTTTTCTTATTTCTCCCCTCCCCCCCTTTGGATTTTATTTTAAAGGCTTTAAAGGGAAAAAAGAATTTGCAGCAAATTGAATCAAGGAGCCATCATGAGGCAGGCTGGTTTATAGCCTATTTTTAGCCTGATTTTTGTAAAGAAGAAGAATCCTTCCCACCCCCTCCCCCGTGCATATTTACTACTAAAACCGGGAGGGAGGGGGGAAGACCACCCCGAAGTGTGACCTGAGGTCTGTATTTATTTTGCAGTCGGTTTATGGTTTGTGTCTGCCATGTATAATGTTAAGAAAAGCTTGGGGAGAAATGTGCTTGTGTCTGAACTCATGCTGGAGTGGGGGAGGGGAATCTGTGTCTACACTTTCCTCTGTGTGATTTTTGTTTTGTTTTGTTAATTTCCTTTCTTTTCAACTGTGTATGTTGTTTTCATTTGTAGCTTAGAGGGGTGTGTTTCCTTTTTAACTCCCCTGGAGATGTAGCCCTGGATTTAAGAGAAGAAAATATCTGTATATGTAAAAAATTTTTTTTTTAAAAAGTGTAAAGTGCCAAAGTTATTGTTGATCAGTTTCCTGTTAAGTTCTGGGTGGAACATGATCACATCTTCTTTTACAGGGTAAGGGCCACATGTAAAAGACAAAACATGGGCCCTAGTTGTGGAAATAAGCCTTTATACCCGTTAATGGGCTGTGTGGTTTTTTTGTTTTTGTTGTTTTTTTAACTTAATAGTATCAAATATCCAAAATGAAGCAGGCAATCTTGTTCTGTGCATTCTATATTTTTTAAAAGACCTTTACGCCTAAGTTATATATTTCTCTGTGCTGTTAATTGAATATATTTATCCATTGTAAATACAAAACATGTAGTTCATTATACCATTTAATGGGGTTAAATTGTACATTGAAGTTGTTCCAGGTGAGTTCAATTTTCATCATCCAATTCCCTTTTAAGGAAAATTTATAAGATAAAAGTCTCTTTTGCGAGAGAGAGAGCGCCTTAGTTGTGCTTAATGGCAGAGTCTTGTTGCTTGAGATTGCATGTTGAGCTTTCAAGATAAAGTTTCATCTGTAGGTTGCTGTGTAGGATTGCAGAGTGAAGTTTGCTCATAGAGTTTTTACTATCAGATGTATTCAACATCCTCATTTTGCTGTCTGTATAAATCAAGACTTAACTGATTTATGGAAGCAATCACAAAATATACTCATTCTTTGGTGTTAAAGCATGGGAGGTAAAGAGTCATGATCTGGAAAATTCAGTCTTGTCACATAAAAATTAGCTGAGCCTGATTGCTGATACTTTACTGATCTAGTATATAAAATAGATATCTGAAAACATCACAAAGCATATTAACAAGGGAGGGGTCTTTATTATAGATGGGCCACGCTCTCTGGATACTGACCTTGGGCTTTAGGTAGAGCCTACATAGAGAGAGGTGCTACTGGCAGAATTCAGGTTTGGATTTTGAATAGTGCCTGAAGTTTTAGGGCTGTCCAAGTTTTGGGCCTTGATTGTGTAGTGAACTTTGCAAAGGCTCAGATGTCTGGCCTTGGTTTGGACATCTCCATATTCATCTTTTCAGCATACAGTTCAAACTTATTAAGGCTCGGATCCTGGAAACACTTATGCAGGTGCTTAACTTCAACCACATGAGTAGTCCCATTGGTTTTAATGAGACTATTCATGAGCTTAAAGTTAAGCGTGTGTTTAGGTGTTTGAAGGATTAGAGCCTGAGATTTATAAAAAGCTTTACTGTCAAGGTAAATCTGCTTAGTATGCTGTCGGTGTTATGTAAATAATAATAAACATTCTATGGTTTCCCAAAGTGATTAATTTTTTCTTTTGGTTAAGATCTAATGAAATAGCACTGTATTTTATTAGTAATCACAGATCACCTGAGACTACACTCTCATGGTCTCTTAAATTTTGTTAAGGAAGTGCAGGCTTGTCTCCATGACCATGTGGTTCATATGGGATTATATCTTGGGAACTTTGTGGCAGGTCTCCCAAAATAGTATTCTGAACACCTGGAAAATATTTAGCATTCACTCCATGAGGGAAGGGGGAGGGGAAGGAAATACCATTTAAACATGTAAGAGTAGTTGGGACTTGGGTTCGTAATTTTAGAATATACAGGGGTTTACAGTTGATTTTGTTCATTTAAATGTTTCCCTGCTTCATTGAGAGTAATAGGTCTAATAATTTTGATCAGCATTTATTTGCTGCTCAAGGTTCTCCCTCCCCCCTCTCCCGTTAAAAATAGTTAATTTTTTTCTGAAAGAAATTTTTACAAATCCGCTTTTAGTTTTTCTTCCAATGATTGATGTTTCGTACATTGGTTTGAAGTTATAAGGCATTATAAAGTGCTAAGTATTGTAAAACTTTACTTGTGACTTTGTAATCATTACCACTCAGATAGCTGTGATGGTAGAGAGCATTGTTAAATCCTACTCATAGATGGAGTAAGTTGAAATGGTCAAAACACGAATATTGTGTGTGTGTGTTTATATTCACTGTGTTTTCAGTTAAGTTTTTCAGTGAGGCACAGATCCAAGTGCATGTAAAGTAAATTGAATGGTTACTTACACAGGAGTTCACATTCAAGTCAGATGCCCACTGTTATAAATGTTATAGAAGCAAATTAAGACCCAGTCCTACAAGAGGTTCCATCTGGACAGACCCATACTGAAGTCAGAAATTCTGCAAATACAATGCACGTGCTTAGTTTTAAGCACATCTGTGACCGCCTTGACTTGAATGGGGTCTATATATGTGCATAAAGTTGATCATGAGAGTTTGCGCAGGGTCAGGGTCTTAACTATAATTTCTGTAAACTATATTTGTGTGTGTGAGTGTGTGTGAGAGAGAGAGAGAGAGAGAGAGGAGATGACTTTTTTTTTGGTGAGTACAATTAATTCCTACCAAAGGAATATATTTACTGCTTGTTGATTGTTATTTCTGTTGATATGGTAAAAATTCTTCTGAACTAGTATCTGCCGAGTGAGGGAGTGTAAAATAAACATACAGCTCATTAAAAGGTGAATGACATGACTAGTGGACCTTTTGAATGACCACTTGTTGAATAAATAAGTCTGTTCCTGTGTGGCATTGCTGTATAAATAGGACCCTACCAAATTCACGGTCCATTTTGGTCAATTTCACAGTCGTAGGATTTTTAAAATAGTAAATTTCATGATTTCAGCTATTTAAATCTGAAATTTCATGGTGTTGTAATTGTAGGGATCCTGATCCAAAAAGGAGGTGTGGGGGGTGGGCCACAGGGTTACTGCAGGGTGTATGTATGTGATACTGCTACGCTTACTTCTGTGCAGCAGCTGGTGGCGGCACTGCCTTGGAGCTGGGCAGCTGGAGAGCAGTGACTGCTGGCTGGGAGCCCAGCTCTGAAGGCAGAGCCGGCAGCAGTAGCAGTGCAGATGTAAGGATGGCATGGTATGGTATTGCCACCTTTACTTCTGCGCTGCTGCCTGTGGAGCTGGGCCCTCAGTCAGCAGCCACCACTCTCCAGTGACCCTCCTAAAAGAACCTTGCGACTCCCCTCCTCCCCCGCAACTCCTTTTTGGGTCAGGACCCCCAATTTGAGAAACGCTGGTCTCCCCCACGAAATCTGTATAGCATAAGGTAAAAGCACACACAAGACTAGATTTCACAGGGGGAGACCAGATTTCACAGGCCGTGAATTTGGTAGGGCTCTAAGTATAAAATATCACATCTTCAAATGAATAGCTGATAAAGGAATAATAACTCCTGATTTCCTGTTGTAGGCTCAGGATCCACCAAAAATCTTGGCTTCCCCATGTGCAACTTTCTGAACACTTCAGTGTGATGTTCTTTTATTTAAATTCTTAGTTTCCATAAAGAAACGTAGAGATAACAACTGGTTTTTCACAGACCATGTTTCATCCGAAGATCTCAAATGGGGTAGATGGGGGACTGTTTCACCCATCCTGAAAATGTAGCCCCCGTGAAATAAAATATGGCAAGATAATAAGTTGAAAATGTCTTATCCAGGTGAAGCTTCAGGAGAGTCTGCAGGGTTGAGCATTTGACTGGTGCAAAAATAATTGGTCAATTAACTGGTGAAAAAAATATTGGTCAAATGTCAAAAATAGTCAAATATTTTAAATTTTGTTTTTTTGTGTGTTTTTTTTTTAAAAGAACACGAACAACAGTCACAAAAAGAATAAGATTTTATGGTCCCTTGTAGGCATAACCGTAGCTACTTTGTGCCTTTATTACAAAATAAAAAGTTAGTTAACTGAGTTATTTTAACTCAGAAAAATAGGCAACACAATGAAGTTCTGAAAAATGGAAGAATGTCACTGTGATATAATCACAAAGATAGGCCGCCATGTACATCAGGTAATTCTTGCTGGAATATTTGGCAATATTTAATTGTGGTCAATTGTATAAATGTAGTATTTATTTTGGCAGAATGTGATACCTAATTGTAACTTGTTAGGACACTGAAGCTGTGTCTTAACTATGAAAAAAGGTGTGTTCTCCGCTCCAGTTAACTAATGTGGGATGAAATCCAAGTGAAGACAAGGCAGTTAGTAATTTTCGTGTAGTTGACAGGTTGAGTTCAAGACTATCAGGGAGCCTGGTCTTGAACTCGACCAGTTAACTTGTATGAAAACTACATTCT